GAAGCATACCTTTACCTAATACGAATCGAAATTAGCTAACATTTAGACTAACAAAAGAAGTGTAAACCTTCTAAAAATGCCTTTTTATAATCAATACTTATGACGCAATCCCCTACAAACAACAAAGTTTAGAGGTTCCATTCCAAGCTCCATTATTTTAAAATAGCTTTAAGCAATGAAGCATTTATTTTTACCCATATTGACGTCATATTTAATGACGCACAAGACGAAATTAAAAGAAAGTAACAATCGAAAAGAAAGTAAATTTATCAATCGAAATCAAACATTTTCTACATGACAATAAGATCCTTTTTCGAAAAGCAATACAATTATAATGCCAATGTACCCATAATGGCGTAAAAAAGTTACAATACGTAAATATTGAAGAAATGTTTCGTACCTATAACTTGGTAATTAAGTTATCGTACTAACATACATCGTGTTTGTCTGTTTGTTTATAAAAATCTAATCGTATTATCGTTATGGAGTGAACACAGAGGCAAAATATCAGAACAGATTAGTTCCAGACAGATTAAAACGTCAAGGGAGAGGGTGAAAATGGGGCTGAATGAAATTTTCCCACTATTTCAAAATCAACCTTAAGCATTAAGCTTATGGTTGCAATTCCCCCGTTTTGATTCCATGAGTTTGTGCTACGTAAATACCGCAACACAAGGGTTCAATAACCTCTAGAGAAAGGATAAAGAAATAAGGAATTTTTATTAAAAAAAAAGGTTTATTAAAAAAGTTTTGCTTACCTTTAAAATAAATACTGGTTGAAGGGGACGAAAAATCACAAGAAGCCATATTTAAAAAATAATTACGTTTTTTTTTCTTTTGTGTTCAATAAATGGCATTTCGCATTTTTTCAATGAATGTGGCCAGATCTCTGTCAATATATGACAATATTTTGTACTAAAGAGTTCGGATATCTTTAAAATAAATAAGTATGTACTGGTCGAAGGGACCGAAAAAATCATAAGATACCAGATTTAAAACGAAATTATTTTTTATTCTTTAGTATCAATAAATGGCTATTCTAGTTTCTCCACTGAGTTTCTCATAGTTTCTTTCAACAAATGTGGCCGGACTTTAGCCGTGTACCCTGCATGAGAACTCTTTGGTAAATAAAAAAAAATGATTTAGAGAAAAACAATGTGTTCACTAGTTCGCTAACCATGAGGTGGATAGCAAGGATTGTTGCTATCGATAGCAGTGTAAAAAAGAATAAATTGTTGTCTCTGTTTTATGTATTGCATTAGAACTTGTAACTCCTTTGTAAAAACATCATTGTGCGCCTATTTCTATAAGATGGAAAATTCTTAGCTTCGTAGCATGTCGTAGCAACGCAACGCAGCGTAGCAAAATAGTAACGTTCTACGCATACGCAATAACTTATGCAATCTTTTTACCTAAGTAAGTACCTAATCGTATCTTCAGAAAAATTTTAAACTTATTAAGTACCTTCGTTGGTGAAGAGATGTTAATATTATACAATACACTAGTACGGTACGCCTGGTTTTGGTTTTACGAATATACGCGCTATTCCGTATTGCATGAGGCTGTTTCTGTTATATTTTTTTTTTGTTTCTAATTATGTTCACTATCTGCAAGTACCTACATAGAAAATGAAACAATATAGAAAAATGTAACAAGGCAAAGAAAACTCAACGATTTTAGTTCCACATAAACATAAGAGATGTCGCTACTATGTAAATATCTCTTTCTGCGAGGATAAGGATGATTTGTTATTCTAAATTAACAGATTAACAGCATTTTACATAATCTTCTGGGCTTACCTTAAGCAAAAGATTTTTACGGATTAAAGGATATTTTATTCCACCTTGCTTTAAGTAACATTTTTGGACGCTCGTGCCAGAACAGCTGTGAAATTCTCAACGTAGGTACGTCGACTCGTAGTCTATATTTTATAAGTATATACAGGTCATCATTGGCTCCGAGGTATAAGCATAAGAGCATATATAAATTTTTCGCCAGTTTATTATAAGACCTTATAAGATGAACCTATTGTTATAATCATAATTAGACTGTATCCAGAATCCAGACTCCATCCTGTCATTGAGATTCATGACTGGTAATCATAACAACAAATAAATACCTAACAATGTAAAAGTACCAAACAACTAAATATAAAATCAATTTTTTTAAGGGGGGAAAATCATCGAATGACTGCGTGAGGAGGGAGTGTCAGACTTTTACTGACTAAAAACCACCCCGTTCCTTCTCCTGCACGTCGAGCCGGAGCCCCAGTTACCCGTTAGGTTCTCCGCGACAATCTATAAAACCTATAGAGAGAAAAATAAAGAACAATTCACATAACAATGTAAGAACCAATACCTAGACCATTACTTATCAACTTTACGACCTACCACAACGCAACATAACTTTGTAACTCGACAAACCATGGAAAACCTTGGGCCCGATATGGTCATTACCTATAGAATCACTCCAACAATTCCGATAACAACACCCTTGCAATCAATGTGCCTAATGAATTATTTACGTTGCTTAATCAAAGTATGTTTTGATTGCGTAAGAAATGCGTTTAATCAATTCTTTGGTTGGTCGGAGACTTTTGTTTTAGGTATATTGTGCGCCAATGAGACACAGTATCACTTTTTTATGTAATAGAAGACAAACGAGCAGACGGATCACCTGGGTGCTTACTCTTGAAACCAATCTTAATGTCAATGCAATTTCAATCCAACAAAATCTCAATAATTATTCAATGTCAAAACTATACAACCACAATTGTAGCTGTTACAATAGCATTCAGAGTACGAAATATAAAGCCAAACTGAATACCATTTAGTTCATTCAATATCCACGCAATACGAATGCAATGGGCGCTGAAGTAGCAACTCAAGAGTACGAAATTTCGCAGTACCAATGTCGATCGAAATTGGATTCAAGAGTAAGTTACCTGATGGTAAGCAATCAGCGCCGCCCATGGACACCCGCAACACTAGAGGTGTCACAGTAGTGTTACGTTACTTATTTATATTCACCATCATCATCGACAGGTCGTGACAGTTCCCAGTTGGACTATAAGTCTTTTTTAACTCGGTTGCCAAAGAAGAAAAAATAAGATTTTACATGATTGACATATTTTAAAATGACTGTTGCTCGCGCTCTGAGCTGGGTAGTAAGTACCTAGTCCTTTTGTGATATGTGATAGACAGTTATTACGACCATATGGTAATATGTAATGTAGTTCACTCTACTGCGTGCCTGCGTCCCGGGTCGGGCAAAGGATTACTGGGTTTAAAAAAAAATCTCAGTAGTAGCACGGAGTCTGGAATTGTACCCGGTATATGGCAATAGCCTCACCCCGTATTACAATGGACTCATAACATAAATAGTGAAAAGTGGGTGTTACATTGTACCTACAATGGCAAAATATACACATCTGCCTACCCCTTCGGGGATAAGAGGCGTGATGATGTTTAAAAGTTCCAGATTACAGACCTCTTAAAAACTTGGATTATCTTTGCAAACATCTTTGCTCACAGTTTCATCTTCGTTATCACATGAGAGGAACATAGCAGGCCTGCGTAAATTTGATTTTAACTAAGTACGTACAAATACAGATCGTACAGTATTAATGTTAAAGTGAGCCTCTGGCATAGTTTGTAATTGTCTTTTAAATATTGATGAATGCTGTATTGAAGCTAATTTATATTTTATAACGATTTCGATTGGTGGGTTTTCAAGGACATTTGAAGAACAATATTAGTACTGAGTACTAAACTCATAATATTATTACTCACAGTGTATATTGCAGGTTCACCTATTTTGTAAGTATGGCGAAATGTGGGAGAATATTTTTGCCATATTTTGCTCTAAAAGTCTCATAAGCCATTTTCTCCTGTCTTAAATCTCTCAACATTTTTTAATTACATTTACAGGGTTACTTACACAAAATAAATATTCAGAAGATAAAATTTAAACATTTTTATTTCCATAATTATTATTATACTGGCAGTCGTATGTAACATAAACATAATTCACACACACTATTTATACTGCAGGCGTACACGCAATGTGGAGCACCCACACATTTAACAAGAGAGTCAATGGACGTCCCGTCCACTATTACAGACATCATTAAATGCTTTGGAACAACAATTCAAGTAAATCCTTAATCTAGGGCTAAGTCAATAAGTCACTCAAAGTACAATGCGGCATTTGTACAGAAACTTTTTTGAGCACTGTACAAAATCCCACAATGGACCCCAAACAACTTTCATAGGCCCATTTACAACAATAGAAACTTTAATTCCTAAATTTTCAGATTCCTACCGTAATAATACAATTTCACTTATAAGATTTACAATCTGTGACCGATTTTGATTATTCTTAAACACAAATTAATATCGCAAACCCAGACAACATTTGAACATCTGAGATTTCATAACAATGTCAGCATCACCACGCGGAAGTAAATTATGTCACACGAATTAACTTCCATACAATGGCACTTGCTTTTTAATATAAAAATACTAAGCACCTACTGTGTGCGTTACACGCATAAAACTAACAATTAATTATTTACAAATTATCTTTTGCCACATTTTTATAACAATAAATAGGTACATTTTTGGTCTCATACGAACGCATCCATTCCATTAAAAATTGAATTATATTTTTTAATAATTTTTAATCTGTATGGTTTTATATTTTTTTTTATTGGATTTTTGGCGGGCGTGGCAAAGGACCGCGTTTAGAACGCTACTAAATGTTCAGTCACGCTTTGAAGAACTAAAATTAACTTAAAATTAAATACTAAGGGCATGGAACATTAAAATATCTAATTGCTAATTTAATTTCCTTGTCCAAAGTTTAAGAAAACTGATACTTAAGCTGTACGGAAGATATAAAGTAAGCGCACACATTTGTTTTAGAACTTACTAAGTATATCATGAAATTGTACAATAAGCATAAGTTTTTTGTAATGACTTTGAAGCTTAATTAACCTATTAGAGATCCATACTGAATGTTTCCTGCGACTCGTCGAATGAGATTGAGTTGGACCGCGCTTTCTGCGCTGCAGTCGGTTGTATGACATTCGGGACGGAGTTGGGGTTCTTCAAGAGAGCGGCCGGTAATGGGCACTTAGGTGGGGTTTGCGAGATCGGTGATTGCCGTAGCGACATCATGAATGACCTCTCGTACACTATCCTCGTACCTGGAAAATAAAATAGACATTGTTAACAGTTGAACTTGAAACATCATGAAGCATACAGTGAGAATTTCTATAACAAATTCTTAATCAACTCTGAACAGTTATTAGGCTCGACTTTTCATCAAACCATCAAAATAAACATATAACCAAACTACATAATTATGCTACATTGTAATATTCAATACCTATTCCAAAATATAGGTTCCTCACTGAACAATGGCGGCCGCCTGCCAACCATAATGTATTTCATGCAAATTCCATTCATTCTATTCATAAACAGTAAAGTTCAAAGATAATCTATTATGTCTCGTGATTAATTATAATGTTTCTTGAATTCGCTAAGAAGTCTGGCATAGTTTTGTTGAATATACGAGTTTTAATGTTAGCTACTTCCGTGTGACAACGAAAATAACAGAGTATGATATTTCTACGGCGACCACGTTGATAATCTTTTTGCAGAACATTGGACTTCGAGGAAGGTAACAAGAGTAATTATGGTGTAGAAATTACTAGAAAAAGATTTAAAATATGATAAACAATGTTCTATGTAGTACTACGTACGTGTAGTCGTGGTGGCCCGGAGGTTTAAGACGCCCACTTCTCATGCATGAGGGTGCGGGTTCGAAACCTACCAACGGCAAGTACCAATGTGACTTTTTCCGAGTTATATGTACTTTCTAAGATTATTTAGACACCACTGACAAACGGTGAAGGAAAAACATCGTGAGGAAACCTGAACTTATAATTTCTAATTATAAGTTTGAAATCGCCAACCCGCATTGAGCAAGCGTGGTGATTAATGCTCTAACCTTCTCCGTGTGAGAAGAGGCTTTGCTCAGCAGTGGGCATTTATAGGCTGTTGATGATGATGATGATGATGATGTTCTACGTCAAATTCCACTAACAAAAATGGAAGGGCTAAATATTGTAGGGAGGGAATTGTAAAACTTAATTGGGTTAAAAGTTACTACTTAAAACACTTCGGTCACTACTGATACTAGGTTTTTTTTTATTGGGACAAGCCCGCCACAACCTCCCAAAACCGCTGCAACTCTTGTAAGCCAGGATCTACAGTAGATACAACCATGAAAACACCGGAACACAGGTCCGGCGCGTCCCAGGGACATGAGTAACTGTCTTGGTTCCCGCAACGAAGTGAATCAGAAGATATTATAAGAGGAGAAGAAAAAAAACGATAGTTTCCACTTCCCTCAGTGAATTACTGCAGGATACAGAGTGAATTAAGCCTAACTGATACTAGGCTGATATATTTAGAAACGAATTATCACCATGTTATTATTCAAGCTTAGATAGGTACAGTTAACGAAATCAACAATCAAAAATAATTTTTCCTTTTCAAATCGAAATGAGAGTCAAGATCTTTTACAATTCAGATTACCACCTAACAGTATCTCAACCGGTTTCGGTTATTTAAATCGTTGTTTTTGTATTTATTGGTTTGTTTAAATATCAAACTGCCTCGTTGGCGGATTGGTCGCAAGTGCGACTGCCGTGCAAGGGGCCTCGGCTTCGATTCCGGTTCCGGTCGGGCAAAGTATTACTGGGTTTTAAAAAAATCTCAGTGGTTAGCACGGAGTCTGGAATTGTGCTCGGTATATGGCAATAGGCTCACCCTCTATTACATGGGACTCGTAACATAAATAGTGAAAAGTGTGTGTTACATTGTACAGTGGCATAGGTATTGTGCACCTCTGCCTACCCCTTCGGGAATAAAAGGCGTGATGTTATGTTAAATACCTTTAAATGTACGTATTAATTTTACAGAGACATTTTTTCATTTCTACTTTTCAAACCTCGCTATGATTCTCAAGATACGTGGGTTGTTAATGACTCTTAAGCCGCTTGAAGCATACAGAAGCGCTTTCTTTGAGCCACCAAGGACTTCCTTATAAGACTTGACTTTTTGCTTTAAAGCGGTTTTTAATAAACCTTCGGAATGAAAAACCAATTAGATATTATGAACTTTGAAATAGATCTAATAATTTTATCTAAGATAAAGTATATTTGGGGCACAATTTATCTTTTTCCTTGACCAAACATACGATGTGTTAATAAATATTGATATTCTATGACATTTTAATTTCGTATTTGCATTTAAAAATCATAATCGATTCCATACTTATATAGTTAAACGTATTAGGTATATAGTTTATGATGACAGACTAATTATGTCTGTATTAATATTTTACTAATTCATTATCTTTAATTCATTTATAAAAATAGTTCTTTCAAGTATGTCAATTTTATATACCTAAACGACTCTACAACCAGCCATGCATTATTTAAATACAAAATTATATTATCAGGAAGACAACCACTGAACCTAACTAAGCCACTACGTAAATTGAAAAAAAAATTAAAAGTTTGACCAATTTTCATTTAACATTAAATAGACCAGTAATTCAATCAACTAGAATTCACAGATTATACACGGAGTGTGCGCAAACGCACGTATAAAGGACAGAGTTGTTCTATTATCTTAAACAAACAGTCGCCGTTCGTGATTGGTTGCCAAGTGCCTTATGTAACACAACACTACACCACATGGCAACTGATTTACGCAAACCAATCACGTTCTTGTGCAAAAGTTAGGTTAGCAAACTTATCTGCCGGATTTTAAGACAAGTTCACATGTTTATATTCGTTTACCGCATAGAACAAGAACTTAGAGAAAATAGTATAATAAAATCTAGATAAAAAAGCATTTAAAAAAACTTTAGTCAAAAGATTGAATAGAAAATTCTATTTTTTTTTCTTTCCTCTTTGGCAACCGAAAAAAATTCTATATTTTGACCCAATTTCTTAAATGTCAATGTCAATCACATAGGTACATTGAATTTTTTAATACGACCAGCCAGCATTTTAGTTTCTAAGTTTAAATTACAGAAAGTAATTATTTTTATTCTAACGGTCTTGTTTTTTTTTAAATACAAATTAGAAATTAGTTATCCTAGATTTGCTATCGTCTGTAGTGCCAACACCAAACAATGACTGTTTTTCTTATTCATATTTGGCATGCTTATTCTCGATTAGATACGCAATTTTAATTTTAATCAAGCTAAAATCTAGATACCTACTTCTAAAAAACACAATCTATAGAAAAGAGAATTTGAAAACGACCTTGAACTTTGAGTTTGTTTATTTACAGTTTCATAGAAAAATCGATAAGGCAATGTCGACCTTATTTGCATGGCATAAATAACTACATTTATGAATTTCTATTATTGGCACCGGAAATATCAATTGGTGTCTGAACAGCTTCAATAAACTGATCGTCGTTTTATATTATGCTCGTTTGCAGGACATGTAGACATAGTAAGTACGTGTTCATACAACTGCGCAAGAGTGACATAATGTTTTGGCTTCTCACGTAATTTTCTAGTAAAGACAATCATGTAAACCGTATGGTATTTAGTGCATACATAATATAGAAGACTTAGAACAACGCTAAGAAAGCTTTTTTTAAAAAAACCGACTGAATATAAACTTGCATTTTTCTAAAAGCGATGAAAAATGGGCGTATCTGCAAGTTACCAAAATCGCAGTTTACTCACGTGAAAAACACTTGCAGATCCATTGCAGTGTTTTTAACCGACTTCGAAAAAAAGTAATTGGGCCTCCGGTAACCTCACTCACACGACGAAACACAAATTTCACGTCGGTTTTCGGTGAGACAGTGGTATCACTCTGTTCAAGTCGACCCATTCGTGCCGAAGCATGACTCTCCTACACGTTTGAGTATTTCGACAATATACTACCATTAATAAAACTTCAGTTAGATTACTATAAACTGTTACTATAAACAATATTAATCAGCTAGCCACGTGCAATATGTGCTTCCTTTAAACTATTACTTGACCGTCATTAATCTATAAGACATATTTTATATTAAACAATAACATTAATATGATGCCAATGTAATTAAACATAATATCAAAACATTACACCTGTTATTCTAAGAGGGGGTAGACAGATGTATAAATCGTTTATAGTAATTATTTAGATACGTCATTCATGTTGTTGTGATGTGAATGAACAGTTTATTTATATAAACATGATCTGTTAGTAGATAATTTCGGTCGGATTACCAGCTTCTGTGTTCTTAGGTAGTAACAGGGGCGTAGCTAGCGCCGTATCTGCCGTATCAATTATATAGGGCCCCCAGACTACATGGGCCCCCAACGTGTGTAAGCTTAATATAAAATGTATATTTTATTTCAGTAATCACAAAATGCATGCGTTCAAAGGTTGGCAGAAACCATGGAATAGAGAAATTTATTCCATGGCAGAAACTTTGGAAAAACTTAAGTATCTAATCATTGTCCGATAATTTGGGCAGAGGAGGAATTTTATGTTAAAAAATATCTTCTAAAAAGTTCCAAATAAATTTTTATACGGGGGCCCCGTCAAGATACGCTACGCCACTGGCTAGTAAGTTGTGATCGGTTTGTTTTGACATAATTATTATGACAATAATGTTATCTAGTGTTTACGTAAATTATAAAATTGGTAAATGTACGTTATGCTTGTTTTTCTTTTATGTAAAGCTGTTTCTTTTTTTATATACATTTTGTTTTTTGCATGGATGTTCAAGGAGTGTACAGTTACTGTTTATATTTTAGTTTGTGGTTGAAAAAAACAGATTGAGAATTAATATTAATGACTACTGAAATAATAATAAAACCTTCTGAAAATTGCTAACTTAGAAGACGTTTTTTGTACATGCGAACCTCAAACTAATCCCATTACTAAATTAATCACTAAACTCAGAAGTACCTTATATTACCTAAATTGCCTGAACTTAGAATCTTTTGACTGACTCGTTGGCCGAGTGACCGTAAGTGTGACTGCCGGGCAAGGGGTTTCGAGTTCGATTTCCAGGTCAGACAAAGTATTACTGGGTTTTTAAATATTCTCAGTAGTAGCACGGTGGCTGCAATTGTGCCCGGTATATGGCAATAGGCTCACCCTCTATTACATGGGACTCATAACGGAAATAGAGAAAAGTGGGTGTTACATTGTACAGTGGCATTAAGTGCCATGATGCCTCTGCCTACCCCTTTGGAGATAAAAGGTGTGATGTTATGATCATAATCTTTACAATTTCAAGTACCTACTTTAGTTCTAATTAATCGTAATATTCTAGTAATTGAACCCTCTCAAGGTTAATGCAATAATTGAAACAATTTAAGCCCATGAGTTCATTGGCGCTCCTAAATTTAGTTAACCACTCATCTGAAGGAAATCAGAACTTAAATACAATCAAAACCTGTTACTTACTATCCACCTATGTAAACATGTATTATATCCAAATGTACGCGTGTATGTGCGCACTCAACTCCTGAACGACTGCACTAAATTCGATATTTCTTTGTGCAAAAGGCATGGTTTGAATTTATGATAAGTTAATCATATCCACAACACAAAGTACTCGAGCATCAAATAAATTCTCACTTAGCTAGCAAGAAAATACTTTCAAAGCTTCGCACGGCAATTTAAACGCTATTGCTAACTGCATAATAATGCGTCTTGCATTTAACGTAGTTTGTCAGTTCTCAGGCTAATGAACTCTATGGCTTGGGAATAAAAAAAAAATTAATCGACAAACACAATGAGTATTCAGCCGGTTATAAACGAGATACGCTATCATATCAGCGATTACAATTTACTAACGAGGTCTTTTTACGAATTACCTAATTTTGTCAACTTTACATAATTTTTGAAGGTGTTATTTTTTATTTACCTCCAGGTGTGGTGGAGTATACAGTGCCTCCTGGAGTGCTGGAGTACACATCGGGCATCTGTGAGGGGTCAGTGATGAGGACCCTCCTCGAAGGGATAGCCTGGCAGTTGGTGGCTTGTCTTGCAATAGGTGACGCCGACATGATTCCAAAAACTTTTTGGTATAATCTCACAAAACACTGACACTGTTGGTCGTTCAAAAATACAAGGAGGACTGAACCGGGTGTAGCCGATGCCTAAAATAAATACGTTTACTAGCTACACGCACACACGCGCGCGTTGTGTATTGTAAACACGTCACACACGAGCGAGCCACATCAAAACATGTATAGATTATGGACGCAGATAGGGAACTTTGTAAATGCGGTTATATATCGCGTTGACCTTGAAGCTTCACAACTGTGTACACAGCTAAGTTGGATAAATATATGAGTCAGCTACAAAAACATATTGTTACGGTTGTTATCTGTAGCCAGTATCAAAAGATCCTGCCTAATAAGAAAGTGGACGATATTGAGTGGACAGGTTGGAACTCTTGGTTTAATTGTGAATGAATCTCAAAAATATCGAATACCGTAATCCCGTAATTTAAATAAATAAAAAATCCCAACTATCCATTCGTTATTTTAGAAGAATTCCATAAACAAAACAACTTTTCTACCTATCCAACGGATCTTAAAAACGAGTTTATCATGTTCTTTGACGGCGCACACAGATACCCTCAATCGTTATCGTACGTTCCACGCACACATGGGCGCAGTGTTTTGTGCGTAGTTTAGTCAGTCGATATAGTGATGTCGACTAATTTATATTCGCAAAATGTTTATCTCATACAAAATCAACTAGCGAGAACGAAGATTATAGAATCTTTGCAAGAAATATTATAATTTATAAGTTTTTAGGTTACCTGCATGCGTGTATTTATATATCTATTCATTTATTAATTCTGAATATAATATATGATTATGTGAATTTCGTTTATTGTATTGCATCGCCGTAATACTAACAGCTGCACATGTGATAATATTAATTAATAGGTACAATTTCTATGTTGAAACAATAATTCTACTGGACTCAAAAGAACTGTTAAATAATGGGTGTTATATTGTACTTATACATAGTACGTTATGTTATGTATAAGCACCTCTGTCTACGACTTCATAGATTGTTACCGAATTTTTCAAATGTCTCAATAGTACGTATCACAGAGCGTTTAATATAGTAACAACATAGGTACAACTATAAAAATATATCGGAACTCTCTATCACACTAAACATACACACGTAGATGATATCCTAGTGGAACACCAGGCTGGATGATACTACCTCAATAACATAATTCAAAAGTTTCTAAAAAGCATGGTACTGTATACAATTTTAAGAACACAAATGTATTTCAAAATGAGCACCGTTTATTTACCAAACGAATTCACCGGTTGCTATTATAACTAGATAATGTTCAAGGCCAATGTTGTATAAAATATATCAAAGAAAAAGTTGTATAGTAAATACTACATTACACAAACCTGCTTAAAAGAAATAATAAAAAAGCACCTTGCTACGCTATTTGGGTACGCTACGCCATGGCTATGCTACGCAACGAAACGCACGCTTTTCCTTGCTCAAAAAATTAAAATATTTAAGAGATAATAAAATGTATGCTACTTGCCAATAAATATGTGGGTTTTGTAGCAGTAATATTGGTTTAAAAAACAACGTTTTTGTAAAAACTAGCGTTACAAATACGTGATCATTATTGATCATTTTATCTATTTAAAATTAAAACTTATCCTTTGAATACGTAGAAAAATCAGGGCATATAAATACAAAATTCTAATCAAGTGTAACATACCTATTAAGATGTGATCATGCTCGGATCGGTAGAATTTCTTCCATTTAATAGCTTTCCCTGAATCCGAGGGACGAAGTCTTCATAGTCAGTTTCTGATAAATTAGCATTCAAAACCACAAATTGTTCTGTTTCCTCAAGAGGAAGCCTCGCCCTCCTGTCTCTCAATGCAACACCATTCTTTGTAAATATAAGCTCGCTTGGTACTGAATTCGCTACAATGTTGCACTTCATTTTGAAAATCTTTGCCAAATGAGGATATTTCAGCTGATTCGTCTGCCACCAATCACATGGATCACAGCTGCTCTCTGCGAGCTCACCCTGAAGGTAGGTAGACACTTCTTGTTGAGCCAACACTAATTGATTAAAATCGGAACACTTCTTTCTATTTCGTATGGACAAACTTCGTCTCCGCCACAAATTTATTTCACCGTCTGCGTCGTCATCTTCCATCGTGCTCTGATCACCTGGATCACTATTCGTTTCATTTTGACATTCATTTTTTATCATCTGTTGTACCGCTACTACCAAGTTTGATTTCGCAGTCTCAACTGTGTCAACCACTACTTCATCAATGAACATCTCTGTTTTGTATCTCGGATCTAGAATAGTACAAATCGCCAATTTAGCCTCATACTCTTTACTCGAAAAATCTTCATACAGTTTGCTACTGAATGGTTTTAAAATATTTTCTAAGAAGTTATGATATCGAGGCTTCTTCTCTAGCTCCTTCATCACATCTTTCAGTCCATTAATTATAGCAATTCCTTTTGAAGCGTAAATGTACTTTTCAGAGATGAGCTCGGTAATTGCTTCGTAGAAAGGTTTCAACATTAAATATAATTGGTTGAGTGAGGTCCATTCATCATCAGTGATGTCTGGTAAATCTGTGATGATGTTTTTATCAATTTCTTTTATTTCGTTCTTTAGATTAATAAACCTTTCTATCATGAGATAGATAGAATTCCACATCGTTGGCATGGATTTCAGAAACTCCAGAGGTACTTCGTTATCACTGACTCTCATTTGGGAACTTCCCAATACTTTTTCATCTTTGTTACACAATTGGTAACGGTATGCAATGGTGTTGAATTTTTTTAACGTGGTCTCATAAATATTGGTAAAGTTCTGAAGAATATTGTTTAATTTTTGGGCTATACAAGAACAGTGATCCCAACCTAATGAAGTAACTGCTTCCATTACATCTCTGTTATTGTCTGTGACACACATATTTATTTTATCAAAAATGCCCCAGTCTAGACAAGTGAATCTGAAAATAGTTGCAAGGTCTATACTAGAATACGTGCTGCTAAGATGCCAACATTTCAGTACTATAGACTTGAACTGGAAGTCCTTATTGATGTAGTGTCCAGAGATGCACATAAATGTGTCATTACTAGTGGAGGTCCAGAGTTCACTTGTCAAACAAACAGACTCTGCTTCTTGCATTAATATTTTTTGATTATTCAAACACTTGTCGTAAAGTGCAGGTATGACTTTTTCGGATATCACCAAACGTGAAGGTATTTTGTATTCGCCGTTCAAAGTTTCCACAAATTCCACAAAATCATGATCCTCGACGATTGAAAGAGGTTGATATGTCTTCACAATCATCTTTAAGAGTTTCCCGTTAATTAGTTTCTGTTTTTGATCAAGAACGTTTGTAAAAACATATTTAATTCGAGGAGTTGGGTTTGCAGGTTCTGCCTGTTGCTCTGAAGTAGAGGCCTCGATACATGGCTCAGGTGAATGGTTATCTTGATCATCTTCTTTTTTTATCTCAATCAGAGAGATGCGACATGTTTTATTGTCACCTGTAGGTAACTCAATTAAATGCTCCTCATCATCCTCCTCGTCATCATCTTCTTCTCCTCTATACATCTTCAATGTGAGGCGACGTTTCCTTTTTTCTACTTCTGCTAGGTAAGAATTATATTCCGTTTTGTGTTTCATTCGTAAATGGGCTTTCAAATTCGTTATAGATGTTTTGTATGAGTAATCACATTTACAAAGTTTGCAGTTGGCAACTCTTACATATGGTAACTTTACATAGTAATTCCAAAGTGGGTTTGATATATTTACTAAACTCATTGTTACGATGATACAGACACACACAATACCACACAACTGTAATATGTATATTAGCAGAAGTTGTTTCAAATAACACTTCACAATCAATAAATAGCACAAACACGAAGCGAAATGACGCTACACAGGAATAGCAAGAGAATAGCACGTGGCGCAGGCGCACTGCTCACTGACAACTTGAAACGATCCAGTATGCAGAGTCACGAGAACGAAAGAGACAGCAAGCGACGCGACGCTCGGTGAAACGTGTTTATCGGTACGCGACGCGCCAGCGAGGCTTGTACGCAAAAACAAAAAGGGACAACCGCTACTCACAGTTATAAACGACTCTATGCGTTCTAGTTTAAAGCTTAAAATAAATACATACTTTCATTTAGGCTCTAATAACTTGTGGTGAGGATTCAAACCGGTAAATGTATAGTCGACGAGAATGTGAGTAGCGCGTGAGTAATATCATTAAATGGAAACAAGTGCCCTGGCCAGCGCTGGGGCGCTGCGATATATCGGAAAGCAGACAGCGGGTAGCGTACAAAACAGATAAATAAATGAATTACCACTTGCTATTAATATAGTTAAGTAATAAGCGCTAATTCATCTATCGCAAATTAATTTGAAAATTCTATATCTTGTGGTTTATATCAAATTTAGATTTTAGTAAATAAAAGCTGAATGGTACTTATTAACAAATCATGACAAAGTAGACCTTGAGAATATGCTTATTTATTGTCAATTGCCTCAATCGCAAAATCTTTTGCCAAGCAAGCATGAATGTATGAAGCATGGATTTGTAACTGGGTGTAAAGGGGCATAGTTGTAGATGATAATTTTGTAAACAATAGACAAAATGAATAACCTTAGCACTATATTTTTCATAAAATAAATGTGTTATAGGAATGTAGGAATCGATTTCTGAAATCTTGAGTTAATTGTTTCGAAATGCCGAGATGTTTAATCGATGTTCCCACGACTCGATTTCTCTCGGTTAATCTTTAATTGATTCACAGTAATGTAATTAACCTTTGAATGTTCAATTTATTTGTTTAAACTATTTACTGTTAGCAAAGGGCTAATAAATAAGTTACTAGGAACTTACCAAAAAAAAAATGTTCTCAGTTCTAGGTAACCATTCCTACTGAGGTTTATTTTGTCATTGTAATCTAAGATAAATGAACTGAGATGTGTTATCTCAGTAGTAAATTGTATGAA